CAGAACTATATTCGAATGGATGCAAATGCCTATTACATAACCCTATGTTGTCGATATGTATAATTATGATTATGAAGAATAAAATCGAAAGGAAAACTTGAATACCGAGCAGTTTGCATTACAACACTTTCAGAGTAGCTTAGTTCTCACACCGTGGCATTTTACAGAAAAACGTTACACATAAGAACAAGCAAATTATATAAACAGTAATAAAAATTAAACCGAAAATAGATGTATTTTTTCCTCTTTTTATACCTTATTTATTCTTGACACTATTCTTTTATCATATACATTCGATGCGGGATTGTAAAAGGCTAATATATTGATGCATAGGCAATTAAGGTTATTTGAAATACCAATACGTTCTGGTTGTAAGCAAAACCGCACCTATCTCCCGCTTGTAAAGACATACTAATTTCAGTAACGGCAAATCAAGCACCATATTAGCTAACAGGTCACATCTTGCAGTAGTCATCGCCAGCAACAAAAATTGGCTGCTCGATCGAATATTTAGTACCATCTTAAAGAAAAAAATTTTTTTATTACTTTGGACCTCTGGTGTTGCCCATTTAAAAGAACAACAAAAAAGTAAACCAGTTTATGTATTATACAGGATGTTTCATTAACAACCCATCAACTGGAGATACCATTACTTAAATAATAATGTGTGACCCAAATATGTGTTATACGAATGTTGACTTCAGGAAATTGTTGGAAATTAAAGTTTTTTGTTGTAATTATTAAAGAGAACTAATATGCAGTTATTTTAAGTTCGTTCATATCATAAAGAGAATTTCTATATGAATTGTTTGATCAACCTATAGGTTTTTGACTTTCCGATCTGTTGAAAATTAAATTTAATTATAAAAAAGATACTCTTGAATTAAACGAAAAACTGTCGAGAACAATGAAATAAAATGTCAAAAAGCGTCGTTTAAAAATTGTGCTTCGCCCAGTTATTGGCAATTTGTAGGTAAGTGTGCATACCTCAAATAACTATTTTAACAGTTACTATTTCGTTATTTTATTAATAATTATTTTCAAATCGGCTACTAGAGGTAAAGAAATGTAACCTAAAATTTAATGCTATCCAACTTTAATGTCCTGGTGATGAAATAGAGATCTCAAGTGTTTTTTTTTCTTTCAAATATTCCAGTCACAGGCGAAAACCGTAAATATAAAATAGAGGTGCTTAACACGACCTATTCCAACATCTAATGCAAATAGCCCTTGATAACCATTCAGTTCCGACTGATCATATTCCCCGAAAAGGGAAATTTTCAGTGTACTTTTTTGAAAAAATTGCCAACAATGACAATACTCTCCGCAAACTGTTTTTTAATGAAACTAGGATAAAAAAAAATGTTTAGAAAAAATAGTAAAAATACATTATTAATCGAAATATGGAAATTAAAAAATTCAAGAAAATTGTAACATTTGGGGAACATCTGAATACAATCATTTTATTTAAAAATCCCATGCACCTTGAACTATCTGAAGATAAAAATTGCCATTAGGACCAACGCAGATAAAAATGACAATAAAGGCTAAATAGCTATTCGATATGGTAAATAACGGCACTCCTTATATTACAAACGTAGAAAGAACATGTCCGCCAAAAACATATCTACGTCATTTCTAAAAGCGCGCCTTTATTCTCTCCAAACCAGTCGGACCTTTAAACGAGCAGACCTGATAATTGTTGTTTGTAAACAGCGGTGTCGGTTGTGAAAAATCAGCTGGTTGATTGAACTCACGCGCGGTGTTGCCCGATTTGCTTTATAAAAATCTCGGGGTTACGTTAAAGGAACTGCTTATCTGAGAAAGTGACCCGATGGATTTTTTAGTACGTGTCCCACATTCGATGATGAGGTTTCGGTGTTACTGTTGACACAAAAATAAAAGTAAAATACTTTAATTCTTATATTTTTCAAACTATTTTGTACATTAAAGGGACTATTTTTTTTATTTGGAAAAAGTTTAGTTTCAATTGCCAAGTATCATTTTTTAGACATATTTTTGGTTTAATACTGCCATTTATTAGTAAATTATTTTCCTATGCTGTGTCAATAAGCCACAATTAAATACTGAATAGATGAAACAGCAGAAGAGTGATGAAAATTGAAACGTAATTGATCGAAATAAAAGGCTCTATATCTTGTTATTATTATAATTCGTAATAAAAAGTATTCAGCAGTTGACTCAACTGTATAAAAGAAAGTTTTGTTTAAGTGAAACGCACCAAGACAAGATATTACTCGTTTTTTCCCATTGGCACAAAATGGCAAAATTAAAATATTTAAACAAATTGCCTCATAGAAATTTGAGTTTTGGTTTAAGAAAAATAGTAGTCGAAACTATATTTATTTATTTGTTTCTCAAAAAAAGAAAATATATTAGTAGTATTAAAGTGTTTTCAATAAAAATATAAAATCTATATTCTACGATGGAATCAATCATAAATACAATCGAGTAAAGAAATCTCCAGATCTGCCTCAATCAAATTCATCTCGACAACGCCGCAACGCGCGAGAGAGTACAACTTTTAAGCAACAACCGTCGACCAATCCCGAACGAGGTCAACCGGTCGCATGGGGCTTGAGGCGCCTTACAAGAAGTAAAAACTACTTAGCGTAAGAGACTGCTTTAAGCGTAACCCTACGTTAGTTCAACGTAGTATCGGTTGGGGGCACCACAAGTCAAAGATCGGAGACTACAATAGGCGGGAAGGAAAGGAACCTCGTTATGCACGGTAGCTTTTTTTCGTGTACTGATTTATTTTATCAACAGATTATTTTTGGTGAGGCAAATAATAAAATTCCGCTAGGAGAATAAATGTAATGTTAAATTCCTTTAAATGTTGTCATAAGATTGTTAAATTGGAACTTTGTTATATTAAATTCTGTCCCCTCCATATTCTCTAATCGGATAATTTCCAATTGCTCTTTGGCTTCTTTTTCTGTTGCCATATCTGCATTCATTAACTGCATTTTGCAACTATAACAACACAACGTTGTAACACGAAATAACACAATGTTTTAATGCGTTAAATATCTCACAAAATGAGTTAAATCAAACACGGAAGAAAGCATTGTAATGTATTTGCGCCATACAAGATGCATTAATATTTAAGTCATTACGCATGTTATTTTATAAAAAAATCCTCCAGCAGAATATTATGAAAAAGATTAAATAAAGTTTGCAAACCTCAAACATTTCTTAAGATATTTGGAAAGTTTAAATAACTGGTGAACTATCTCAATCAATATTATTGACGCACTCTTGATGCCTGTTTTTTATAAAATATATAACTGTTTTGTAAAAGAATATCATTTTATTCCTTGTCCATTTACTATGAAAGGGCATTTCTCTGGAAGGCTGAATTTCTGTAAAAGAAAGTAAATAGACCTGCAGTAAACAAAATTGCCAAATACACAAATATCGCTCCAAAAATATTTGAAATATAGAGAAATAATATGTTTTGAACAAAGTAGCACCTCCATCTTGGAAACAATGCATGCATCTCATTAAAACACTTAACGAAACATTTAACAGAAGTACAACAAAAATTACCGAAACTGTCAATATTTATTATTTTATTTATAATCTGTGTTTAAACTATTTAAATTTTTATATCTAGGCGAAAAATACATTCCACGTGGCACACGGTTCCACTTCTCTAAAACTTTCTACCGTTCCGCATAATATTAGAATTTTTGTGGTAAAAATTACGTGGAGAAATCGTTAATTAAGATTTCAACTAAAAACGGGAGCCTAATTAATAAGTTTGCATATATTTGTAAAAGCGTATACATAGTGTCTTCAAATTATTAAAAAATATTGTAATGATGGCAAGCTATTTAAAAATTATCTTTGAAACAATTTTAAAATTACGAATATTATTTCCGTTTTAAGCCTTTTTCCTGTAAGTATGGTATTTTTTCTGTTAGATATACCCAAGTAACACTAATTATCAATGAAATCCGCTATGCTATTTCAACGCCAGGAAGTCAAGGATAACGTCAATCTCGTGCAGCTTGATTAGGAAATTGTTTTTCTGCATTCCTTCGACTAGATTATGTGCGATAATGTATTATTTTGCAATATTTACAACAGAAATGATGTAATACGCGATAATGGGCTTCATGGATGTCTTTGAAATGTATTTAACTTTTTTAAATGCGTCCAAGTTAATAGTAAGAAAAGGAATAATAGTTTTTATTAATTAAAGTTTCACCAAAAATTAAAACATAATTCTTGAGTTTTTGGATTTATTCTGTCGGTCTTCTTTTTTGAAAAAAAAAAGAAAGTGCTAATGTTTACATTTATGAAGACACAAGTAAATTTAATAGGCCTACCTTATTACTTTCTAGTCCTTCCAGTGAGTAGGTGGTATGCAAGTATAAATACAGGGTGTAACTGAAAAGGTGTAAAAACTTCGGGCGGTAATAGTACTACTAAAAGCCACAAAAAAGTTCCTATCAGCAATGAAAAAACATAAGGGCGTTAAGAGAGTAAATATTTTAAAAAACGGTACTTTAAAATTGTTTAGATAGTTTCGATGTGACCACCAGTCATTTTGATAAAAAAAATCCTTTGGTAATACGGAGCAATCTAATGAGATAAGATATGGTGATCTTGTTGGTAAGCTCTCATATACTTGGTTTAAACGATTGTAAAGGCTAGCGCAAAAAATAAGCCGGTGTACCATTATGCATAAAATACGTAATCCGCTGCTCTACCAAAAAAGAGAGTAACTTTGAGTCTAAATAATCCAATTTTTGTACTTCTCATGTTAAACACATTTGCATAATTGAAACAACTCTCTTCATATAAATGTTTCAACCCATGCTTGCAGGAACCTTTCTTAAGGGTTTTACAGGTGTCACCATTTGAATGGCACGTTATACGTTAACGCGTAAGTCACTTATTTAGTTTCTTATAAAAACGGTGATCTGGTATGATATCCGGTCGGACCTGTATTTGAGTTCAATTCTTACCTTGAGCGCACAAAATATGCACGAATCCGCCATACAGGCATGGCCGGACAGGTCCCTGAAGCTCCTTCTAAAAATGTCCAGATGCCACAACACCTGCAACAAAACCAAAAAGGCACGTGTTATCCAAATGAGAACAGGTTGCAAGCGAGGCAGGTTTTATATCGTCTATAGAGATATTTTTTGGGCGGTCGATATTAAATATCACCTAAAATAAATTTAGTGGTGTAAACGGAGGCCTGTTTGTTTTCTTATCTCCAGAAAGCCATGCTTTGTATACACGACATATATATTCCCATTAAATTAAAATTTAAAAGTATTTTATCTGTACCAAAAATAAACGATGGATGCAATTGTATGGTCGATTCAAATTTCAGGGTTTGTATAATTGATATGCACGTTTTCAGTGGTGATAGCAATTTTTGTTAAATGCCATTATAGGTTCTTTTGGACAAATTTTAACTTATGCTGGGTGTCCAATTAAGTCGGCAAAAAAGTTATTCTTAATTCTTAAAATACGAATTTTATGCGAGAGTAAAGTGTACTATTATTTTTGAAAATATCGACTATTGTTGCTAAAGAAAGTTGATCATAATTAAAATAATTTTTGGCATTAATCAAATATGCAGTCAAAACTATTTCAATTTTTTCTATTAATAATCGTTCTATATACAAACTACCACTATACAGAATTTATACGTTTATCGGTAAATCTAAATTGTCAATGTTTAATACAAAGAAGTTCATAAAAATGTCAGGTGGTTAATACTATTAGATATTTGACAATTTTTTTTAATTACAATCTTTTCTTAATAGCCACCGTCGATATTTGTATTTCATGGTTCCATTTCAAGTTTTAAACTTTACAGAACGTGGGCACAGTTTATATTGAAGAAATTTAGAGCCGACAACTAGAAGCTAATTTTAGTAGATATAACCAACCTGTATGTTTGTATAATAGTTTTAGAACTGGTTTAACTTAATATGAAACGTTTTAAATTAAACGTGTTCTAATGTCATTAAACTGTTTAAAAACTGTCTAAATAAGTGCAGTTAAATTCATAAAAATAGCAATTGTATGCATATTATCAAGTCATAAAATAATTCATGACACCTAATTAGATGCCTATTACGAATCAATATGCTTTAAGAATGTTCTCACGATATAGTTAATTGTTGGTTCCCATATTATTATATATATTTTTTGTCCTCAATAGGTGAGAAAATTTTTAGTTCAATATTATGTTTATATAAAGCGGAAATGTAATTTCTACGTAGTGTAGAATCGATTCCAATGAAAAAAATATTGCAACGCTTTGGTTGAATTCAACCTAACGGGTTCTCTTGAAAACTTGAACAACCAAATTAAATTAAGTTCGATATCTCCATTTAAAACGTTATTATTATTATTTTTTAATTTAGTGAGAATATCACCGCTGCTTTAACACAATTATATCAAACTGTCTTGGCGCCCTCTTGCTGCTGAACGCGGCGACTGTAAGAAACCGCTACTACGGGTACTTACGTTCGAAATTTGAAACAAGGCTTTGGGTCTTCGGCTTTTCCCTTTTGTCATTTCGAAAAATTACATAGCACTTGTAGTCAGTCATAAATCACCGACGTAAAACGCACTAACACAACAAAATAATCGTATAAGATGGCTGCAAAATCAACAATAGCAGATGTATTCAACTTTGCCGTATACAAATAGGTACGACTCTCTTCAGCGGCGACTACACAGGTGTGCTTGAGCGCCGAAGACGTACGGGGGGGAACTGTGTCGGCCATTTTGGCAGGTAGAGAGAGAGAAGCGAGGAGTTGGACGTGCTAGTTGGACCGTGGAGTTGCCTTCTGATTCTGTCAGGCTTCTTTTCATGTGAAAGGAAAAGGGCGTACGTTTCGAACCGTGACTTAGTACCTGGTTCTAAATTGTGGACTAAGTCGCCTTCTTTATTGCCCACGCTAAACCTGGCTTCTTTCTTTTTTTGGTTGGAGGGGTTCGACGTTTACGCTAAAGCAAATGTTTAACAAAAATTAAAAATTGATAAAATTATGGATAAATTGTATTTTTGGCTTGATATTCCATGAAGCAATTTTTAAAGCAAAAAATCAGGAAAACAACTTTTGTATTCACATATACACTCCTAGATTATATCGCAAGAATTTTATCAATTTTGGAGGCATCCGCTTTGTTACAGGTGGTTACATATCTGAAATTGTTAAATTAAAGCAGCACATCAAAAACGGAAAGGAAATTTAGCCACGCGCAAGCAATAATTGTGATTATTACGAGAAACTTTTTTTAACGTATTCTGAAAACAGTAATTTTTGCATGAATTTTAAAAGTAAAATACTTTATTTCTTATATACTGTAATTTTTATTGAATTTAATGAAAATATAAACATTTATTTTTATATGGCCTTAGAATATTAGAAAAAAAGAAAAGAATGTATTTTAGTTTAAATATTTTCAGTTTCGTCACATTTTCACATTGAAAAAAAAATGTTTTAACTACTTCAATTCTTCTAATTTTAATGTTATTTATACCCCAACGGCACTACTAAATTATGAAACTTATGGTAAGTTCTGTACCATTTGCCTTTGTGTTTACAGTTAGTAAACATAGTCTCGTGTCGATATTCATAATAATAAGCCAGTCACGCTTAAGAATCTTTTTTAAAGTGGACGTACGGTGAAAAATAAATACCATATTCAGTGACCGCCTCGTGGCACAAACTTGTATACAAATTATCCATTACAGTGTCATAAGATTTGCCTACTAATTAGAAGTTAATTCAAATTTTATGGAAAATGGTTGTTGGAACGACGACCTTTATTTAATTATCGAATCGTTTATGTTGTTAAATATTATTTTATTTTTGTATTTCAAAATCTCAAAAATAGTGACGTCGGGTAATTTTTTCATCAATTTCACCAACTTTTATTATTTATAACATTGGTTCTCCATGAATAATTTTCGTTTTTTTACGAAAGTGTAACTGAACCCTAATGATGAGAATCAACCTTTTGAATTTTCTCAAGCAGCACTCCCACTTTACTATACTACTGATAGTCTTTCACAATACTGATGGAATGTTACTCCAAAAGAGTCAATCAGTGGAGAATGTTTCGCAAATGACGTCACAATAATGGAGGAACTCACGAGCGTCAGTAATGAGGGAGCAACTAGAGAGAGAGCTGGTCCTCTCCACAAGCCACATTTCTTTGTTCATTGGATTAGCTTTAAAGTTATTTGTTTTGGTTTTAAAGCACCATCCGCCTCATTTATCCGGTTACCATCCCAAAGTGATCCGGTTGGATCACCAATAACACATGCAGTCGACTGAATAATCTAATTAAGATGAGTTAAAAACATTTGTTAAAATCATTTATTTTGGATTTTCCGGTTTGTTCATGGAAGGTAGATAAAAAATGTTTCAGGTTTATTTTAAAAACATATATAAATATTTTTTGAATACCATATGCCACTTGAAAAGGACTTTAATACTCTATCCGAAGCAACACTCTTCCTTTCTTTCTTTTGTGGTACAAGCGGCAACATTGCAATATTTTAAATACGTATTTTAATGTAATCCTCATTTACCAAAAAATGTAAAATGTTCCGTAGACTGTGAGCCACCCTGTATATAGAATTATGTTCCTTCGGAAAACTTAATTGTTAGAAGTTTGATGAACGTCTAAAATGGCACGGTGTGGCCTAACTGGCAAACCAAAACACCTGCCTCCAATCTGATGCGCTACACTTTTACCCATCGGTCGTTTCCGAACGATATTCATTTTGCATCCAAATATAAAATAATAGCATGTGGTGCCATAAAATGATGATTCACGCAGAACACAGTCTGCGCAAGGTGCTTTCGGTTTTTTAACCTTTTTGCCAGCTGCTGAATGACAGACTGGCAGACGCCGCCGCGGCTCGCTCTTTAACTCGATAATTATCGATGCCTAATGGACTTAAATGGCAAGAAGAAAGTACAAATCGTCGACCATAATTGGACATCTAATGAACATTAGCGACAGTTTGTTAAAGCTAGCTGTAATTCGTGTAAACCGAGTGCCCTAATTGATCATGCTTTTTAAAAACATTTTGACGATTATGTTTTTTAATTAAGGCAGAAAAGTGAATGTGATTTAGGCTTAAAAAACAATAATTTGTCGACATACATGATGAGTTTATAGTGGACCTAGTATTAAACAGACGAGGTGAAACTTTTAAAGTAACCAGAACAGTAAAATACAAATATATAGTCCATCATCTAGTCAAAGGTAACCCAACTTAAACCGCTAATATTAATCAAACTTCAATTATTAATAAAAACAGATCCCGTAGTTGAGATTTTGTGCATTAGAAACAACCTTTGAACAAAATTTTAAGGGCTGATTGAAAATGCTGCGGATTAATATAAAGGAAAATTCCATACTTTGAAAAAAAAAATGTAGATTATATAGTACCAAAAAATGACCAAAACAAGACTTGCAGGTGATGCAGTGACATTGGAGTCCTTTCGAGATTATCACGAGGATATGAGTGTCGACATATTTTCAAAGATTACTTTGGACAAATGGAAGAATATCTTAAGATTGACTAATTAGTAGATAATGGATAATGTCAAGTTATTATTCAGGAACCATAGAAAAAATACCAACTTCGTCTTGCAGAGAATAAGTGTTTTGAAATATGCTATGGAGGATATAGTTTCTTTCATATGGGCCCAAGTGGCATTTGTAGACGCCTTAAAAAATGCGGAATAATATATTGTATTTGGATATATATTGTATATTTATGTATTGGTTTAATTTAAGAAAAACTCCAAACCGTTCAGAATAAAACTATATTTTTGAACAATAATAAATACTGAGGTGTATGTTAAGTTTGGACCGGATACCGAGTTACATATGTATCTACAATTTTTATTATATTATATTATTACTTATTATTATATTAATTTTTGTTTATGGCCAATCTTTTTGCGAGGAATTAACGTCTTGTATATTTTTTCAGCTTATGGCTAGTACTTTACGTTAGCCCTCTTTCACCTGGGCAGTTTTTTATAAAGCCTTCCGTTGTAATCTG